ACTCACAGTTAACATGTTAACGATGAAATATTCAAGGTGACCCTCCCACCCCAAGGTCTGGAGCAAGACAAGGGTGCCCTGCCCATTATCACCACCTCTACTGGCATCGTACTGGGGTGGGGGTGGCCAGCACAATCGGGCCAGCAGTGGCATAGGCTGGAAAGGAGGAAAAGAAACCTCCCACTTGGTGCACAATAACATTGTCTATAAGATCCTCAGGAATCAGGGGCACCTGAGTGGCTCAGTGACTAAGCAGCTACCTTTGGCTCCGGTCATGATCCCAGGGTCCTGGGATCGAGTCCTGCATGAGGCACCCTGCTCAGTGGGGAGCCTGCTTCTCCCTCTCCTACTACCCGTGTTGTACACTCACTCTTGCTCTCTCTCTGTCAAATCAATAAATCTTAAAAAAAAAAAAAAATCCTGAGGAAATCCACAGGAAAGTTCCAGGAACTAATAAGGAAGGGCAGCAATTCTGCAGTACACAAGGTTAATATACAAAAGTCAGTTGTATTCCTACATGCTACCAATGAGCAGTTGGAAAATGAAATTTTTAATACTCTAGTAGACCATTTTAACAGCATCCAAAAACCATAAAATACCTAGGATAAAGTAAAGGTGTGTGAGACTTCTACACTAAAAAAAATACAAATCAGGGGATCCCTGGGTGGCTCAGCGGTTTGGTGCCTGCCTTTGGCCCAGGGCGCGATCGTGGAGTCCTGGGATCAAGCCCTGCGTCAGGCTCCCTGCATGGAGCCTGCTTCTCCCTCTGCCTGTGTCTCTGCCTCTCTCTCTGTGTCTATGAATAAATAAATAAAATCTTTTTAAAAAATGCAAATCATTGCTGAAATGAAAACAAGATATTGGGATGCCTGGGTGGCTCAGCGGTTGAGCGTCTGCCTTCAGCCCAGGGTGTGATCCTGGAGACCCAGGATCGAGTCCCACGTCAGGCTTCCTGCATGGAGCCTGCTTCTCCCTCTGCCTGTGTCTCTGCCTCTCTCTGTGTGTCTCTCATGAATAAACAAAATCTAAAAAAACAAAAAAAAAACAAAAAACAACAAAAAAAAAACAGGATATTGACTAATTATGCCTGAGAAATGGAAGACTAAATTCCCTGAAAATTGTTCTCTAAAGTCAACTTACATTACCAGATATTTTAATGGAAATTGACAAGTCAGGCCTAAAATTTCTACAGAAGGGGAACATCCTCACATAATAAACTAGAATATGTCTGAAATAGACCAGAAGTTGAAATGTGAACTAAGAAACCACGCAAGGGTCACTTTGGCTCAGTAGGAAGAGCATGTGAGTCCTGATCTCAGGGTCGTGAGTTTGAGCCCCACGTTGGGCATAGAGATGACTTTAAAAAATAATAACGAGGGATCCCTGGGTGGCGCAGCGGTTTGGCACCTGCCTTTGGCCCAGGGCGCGATCCTGGAGACCCGGGATCGAATCCCACGTCGGGCTCCCGGTGCATGGAGCCTGCTTCTCCCTCTGCCTGTGTCTCTGCCTCTCTCTCTCTCTGTGACTATCATAAATAAATAAAAAATTAAAAAATAATAATAACGAAATTATACAAATGTTAGAAGATGTAGGTGAGTTTCCTCAATAACCTAGAAGTGAGAACTTTCCTACCAAAATCCAAAATCGATACAGGAAAGTAAATTGTTACAAAACAACGTATGGATAGCAAACGAACACCATGAACAAAGTACAAGGCAAACAGTAAATATTTACAAAGGATCTCAAAATGGCAACTGAGGGAGAAGAAAACCCTACAGTCCTGCATTTTTCAGGTAAGCAAATGATATTTACAGAAATAGAAAGGCAATTGGCCCTGAAATATAAAAATATCCCCAAACTTGATCATAAGATAAATGCAAATAAAAGCCACACTCAAGTGCCGTTTCTCGCCTCTCAGACTGACAAGACTCCCCGTGTGACCATATGCACCATGGCTGAGGCTGTGGGGAAAGGGGGTGTCCTACCCATGATGGTGGGAATGGAAAACAGTCCAAGCCACAGGGGGATCCGGGCAGTATCCGGCACTGTCAAGTGTAGGATTACCCTTTGACCACAATCCCACTTTTAGGAATTGATCTCAAAAGACTATCTGGTGGGGATCCCTGGGTGGCACAGTGGTTTGGCGCCTGCCTTTGGCCCAGGGCACGATCCTGGAGACCCCGGATCGAATCCCACATCAGGCTCCCGGTGCATGGAGCCTGCTTCTCCCTCTGCCTGTGTCTCTGCCCCTCTCTCTCTCTCTCTCTCTCTCTCTCTGTGACTATCATAAATAAATTTAAAAAAAAAAAAGACTATCTGGTGAAATACATGGGTGTTTGCAGAAGGCTCCTCATTGAGATACTCCTGTTTGGTTTTTGTTTGGTTTTGTTTTTAAAGATTTTATTTTTAAGGAATCTCTACACTCAGTGTGGGGCTCGAACTTACACCGCAAGCTCTGCCCACTGAGCCAGCCAGGCACCTGCAGATGCCCAGAGGTACTCTAGCAAAGCCTCTACTCTAGCCAGAATCCACCCACATCATTGCATTTGAGACATTCATCTGGCCCTGCTCAGAGCCAGGGGCTGAAAGGGCCACAGAGAAGTCCATGTGGTTCGTGGGGTTCACCTAAGGGAGGGGAGAGGGACGCCTGGGGGGCTCAGTGGTAGAGCAGCTGCCTTCGGCTCAGGGCGGGATCCTGAGGTCCTGGGATCGAGTCCCACACCAGGCCCCTTGCAGGCAGCCTGCTTCTCCCTCTGCCTGTGTCTCTGCCTCTCTCTCTCTCTCTCTCTCTCTCTCTCTCTGTGACTATCATGAATAAATAAATAAAATCTTTAAAAAATAAAAAATAAGGGGAGAGCTCTGACTGTATATTTTACTTAAAAGGGGGGTAAAAAAGGAGAGTCCATTAAAATAATCTGGTTTTTTTTTGTAAGGGAGTGTAGGCAACAGGGTAGAGAGCAGAGGTATAAAAGATTTCTCTAGGGATCCCTGGGTGGCGCAGCGGTTTAGCGCCTGCCTTTGGCCCAGGGCGCGATCCTGGAGACCCGGGATCGAATCCCACGTCGGGCTCCCAGTGCATGGAGCCTGCTTCTCCCTCTGCCTGTGTCTCTGCCTTTCTTTCTCTCATTCTATGTGACTATCATAAATAAATAAAAATTAAAAAAAAAAGATTTCTCTAAAATGTCTTATTTCAGAGAGTTGATTGTATAGTTACAGATCATAAAAAATAAGATAGGGCAGCCTGGGGGGGGGGGAGGTGGGGCTCAGCCATTTAGTGCCAACTTCAGTCCAGGGCCTGATCCTGGGGACCCAGGAACAAGTCCTACAGCCGGCTCCCTGCGAGGAGCCTGCTTCTCCCACTGCCTGTGTCTCTGCCTCTTTCTCTGCCTCTTTCTCTCTCTCTCATGAATAAATACAATCTTAAAAAAAAAAAAACATTATTCATGAGACACAGAGAGGCAGAGACTCAGGCAGCGGGAGAAGCAGGCTCCTAGCAGGGAGCCCGATGCAGGACTCAATCCCCAGACCTGGGATCAAACCCTGAGCCAAAGGCAGACGCTCAACTGCGGAGCCACCCAGGCACCCCCCAAAAAATAAGATAAATTTAAACAAAAACTTAGAAAAAAATAAAGATAATGCCTGGGGCACCTGGATGGCTCAGTCAGTTAAGGGTCAGACTCTGGGTTTCAGCTGAGATCATGATCTGAGTCCTGAGACTGAGCCCCACAGCAGGGCTCCTTGCTCAGCACACCTTGCTTGAGATTCTCTCCCTCCTTCTGCTTTTATCCCCCACCCCAACCCCACCCCACCCCACCCCCAGCTCATGCTCTTTCTCTAAAATAAAAATAAAATCTAAAACAAAAAAAAAAAAGATAATGCAATGTCTAAAACTTGAAAGCCAAAAAAAAAAAAAAAAAACACACAATCACACTTGTGAAGATGGCTATTCTTTTTTTTTTTTTTTTTTTTTAGTTTTTTAAAAAGCAAGATGGGGCGCCAGGGTGGCTCAGCCGGGGTCAGCTAGGGTCACAGTGTCATGGTTGTGGGATGGATTCCTCCCTCCAGCCCTGCACTCAGCACAGAGTCTGCTTCAGATTTCCTCATCCTTTCCCTCTTGTTCTCTCTGTCCCTCTCAAAGAATTAAGTAAAATCTTTTTTTTTATATTTTATTTATTCATGAGAGAGAGACAGAGACAGAGACACAGGCAGAAGGAGAAGCGGACTCCCCACAAGGAGCCGGATGTGGGACTCGATCCCGGATCCCAGGATCACGCCCAGAGCCGAAGGCAGATGCTCAACTGCTGAGCCACCCAGGCGTCCCAGAATTAAGTAAAATATTTTTTAAAAATAAATAAAGGGGATCCCTGGTTGGCTCAGCAGTTTGGTGCCTGCCTTCAGCCAAGGGCATGATCCTGGAGACCCACATGGGGCTCCCTCCCACATCGGGCTCCCTGCGGGGAGCCTGCTTCTCCCTCTGCCTGTGTCTCTGCCCCCCTCTCTCTCTCCCTGTGTCTATCACGAATGAATAAATATATACATACATACATACAAATGGTGAGGATGCAGAGAAATTAGAACCCTTATGCAACTGCTGATGAAAATGTAAAATGTGGAACTCCATCTAGCGGTTCGTCCTCAAACCCAGCAATCCCACGTTTGTGCGTATACCCAAAAGAAGGGAAGGCAGGGACTCAAGCAAATGTTTACACGCCAGTGTTCACAGAAGCATTAGTCACCACAGCCAAAAGGTGGGAATAACCCAAATGCCCATCTATGCACGAATTGATCAACAAAATGGTCAGCAACAAACTGTTATAACGAATATAATACAAACAAAACGTTTACACCAATTGAAAGTATTTAATGTAGAAGCTTACAATTCCTAGACAAGAATGTATTTTTTAGGACAAAACACACAATTCCTATTTTTAAAAGATTATTTATTTATTAATGACAGAGGGAGAGGGAGAGGGAGAGGGAGAGGGAGAGGGAGAGGGAGAGGGAGAGGGAGAGGGAGAGGGAGAGGGAGAGGGAGAGGGAGAGAGGGAGAGGCAGGCTTCCTGCAGGAAGCCCTACGCGGGACTCGATCCTGGGGCAGGCGCTCCACCACTGAGCCCCCCAGGCGCCCCCCAGAATTTCTAAATTTGATAAAACTTTATACACAGGATTACAGAAACAAACTTAACTTCAAAAAGACAAAAAAAAAAAAAAACACCCACACCTACAAATCAATAAGAAAACCTGCGGAGGCCACAACCCAAACCCACGAGGGTGGCGTGCGCGCGCCCCCGCAACGAGTCCACGGAACAATGTTAGTACCAAAAAGCGTAAAGAATCAAAGTAGGGCGGTGTGTGCAGCAGGCAAGCCCCCCACCCCGTTCCTCACTCGCACTCAGCTGAGTGCGTAAGACGACGATCCCCCCGAAGCCGCGGCGGCCGCACCCCGAGAGACCTCCGGGAGGGATGCGCCCCGACGCCCCAGGAGACCCGACCCCTCTGCCCTGCCCCCAGGCTCGCCCGCGGGGTGTGTGGGGGGGCAAGGCAAGCTTAGCTAAGGTACTGGCCCCTTCCGAGGTGGCCCTGGGGCGGCCGCGGGGGCTCCGGGGGCCCTTGGCGCGAGGCCCGGGCGCGGGCGCCGGACGAGGGGTCGCTGCGCTGCAGGCGCACGAGCCGCCCCAAGTCCCCGCGGCCGCCGAGCCCGAGCTGCCGGGGCCGCTGGGCCGGGGGTCAGCACGGCCCGCCCCGCGAGTCTCCCCGGCCCCCGCCGGCGCCCAGAAACCACACGGGACACGGAGGTGCAGGCGGCCGCGGCCAGCGTGATGCGCTAGGCGGGCAGCAGGCCGCGCGCGCGCAGCTCGAGCAGCGGGGACAGCGTGTAGCGCAGGCGGCGCCAGGCGGAGGCCGAGCCGCAGCGCGGGAGCCCGCGGAGCGCGCAGGGGTCCGCCCGCAGCAGGTGGAGCAGCGGCAGCGCCAGGAAGCCGAGCGGGAGCAGCAGCAGCGTCTGCAGCGCGCCGCGCGCCCAGCACCTGCGGACCCAAGGACGGACGGACGGACAGGCGGGCGGTGGCGGGGGAGCCGAGGGGTGGGCCCGGGCCCCGCGCGCCCGCCGCCGGCTCACCTGATGCCCGCCCTGCCGGCGCCACCGACAAGCCGCCTCTCCTGCGGAGGTAGGGAGCCGCGTCTAGCTGGGCGCCCGGCGGGGCCGCGAGCTCCGCGGGGCGCGAGTCGGGAGGGACCCGTCCCCCCGCCGCGCGGGTCCCGGGGGGGGGCTCGCCAGTCCGTCCGGGGCCGGGCCCTCGGGGAGGTGGGGCCCGGTGGGCGCGGGTGGCCCCCATGGGGCGGTCCCGCCCGCCGCCCGCCCCGCCGGGGCCCGCGCTCACGCAGTCGGCCCTGGCCACCTCCTCCATGAGCGAGCCCGCGCAGTCCTGCACCCGGCGCGGCTGGGAGTCGCACCTGCCGGGAGGGCGTCGAGGTGGGCGGCCTGACTCGCCCCGCCGTCGCCCCACCGCACCCGGGCCTGGGCCGCTTACACTTCGGCGCCGCCCCGCGAGGCGTCCAGCGCGGCCGCCGCCTCCATCACCTTGCCCTGCAGCTCCTGGGGAGGTGGGCGAGGCCTCAGGACCCGCGGGGGAGCTCGGGGCCGGGGCGCCGCAGGCTGGGGGCCCCGGGAGCGGCTCTCGGCGGAGGGGCGGTACCTGCAGGACGCCGCTCTGCTCCTGGAAGCTGGCCCAGGCCTCCTCGGTCCGCTGCGCGCCCTGGGGGGAGGGGAGCCCCGATGAGCCCCGGGTAGCACAGCCCTCTGGCCCCCCGCACCCGGCCCCGGCCCCCCGCTCCGCCCGCACCTGCCGCAGGCTCTCCGCCTGCTCCGCGTGCTTGGCCTCCACCAGCTCCAATTGTTTCTTCCGGCGGATCCAAGGAACGTCAGGAGTCTGGGGCGCCCGCGACCCCACCCCGCCCCCAGATTGTCATGCCCCCCACCCCGCGCCGCTGCTCGGGTCTTGGGAGGGCCCCCCACCCAAACACCTGCAACGCCATCAGCTGGGTCCCGAGTTGCTGCTCTGCGTGCTGCTGACTCAGCTGTTCCCCTCCGTAGTAGAAGAGCTGGGGACGGGGTCTGTGAGTGCGGGGTCGGGGCTTGGAGGGGCGGGGACTGTCCTGGGCGGCGGGACCCCTGGGACTTCCTCGGGGAGGCCGGAGCCCGAGGCCCGCCCCCTAGTGTACCTGACTCGACAGCTCCTCCCACTGCTCCTGCAGCTGCCGGTTGTGCTGCTCCTGCGGGTGGGGTCGAGGGGGCTGCCTGGGCCTCTCGGAGACCCCGGCCTCGCGGGGGGCCGGGCACCACCCGCGGCCCCGCCGTACCCCACCCCGGGCGGCCCCCCGCCGCACCCCTGCCGGGGCCCCGTCCGCACCAGGTCCTGCTTGCGCTGCTCCGCCGCCTCCAGCAGCCCGCGCGCTCGCTCCGCGCCCTCCCGCGCCGCCTCGCGCGCCTCCTCGCGCAGGGCCCGCGCCGCCTGGTTTCGCTTCCGCTGCAGGCTGCAGAGGGAAAACTGAGGCGGCGCCACGGCGCTCGGTGCCTCCCGCGGCCTCCGGGAAAGGCCAGCCGCGAGCGCGGCCGAGGAAGCCCGCGCCGGCTGGTGACCCTCCCCGTCGTGGGTCCCCACCCTCCAGGCCCCGCCGGCCTAGGGCGGAGGGTCGCGCCCGGGCGGGGAGGAGGAACCGACGAGCCGGCCTTCCCCTCCGCCCAGCCGCGGGCGCCGCCTTCCGTGGGACCGACCCCCGCGCACCTGCGCTCGCGCTCGCGCAGGCCCTGCAGGCGCCCGGTGAGGCTCTCGCTCTCGGCCTCGAGCCCGCGCACCAGCTCCTCCAGCTCCTGCTTCCGCAGTCGCCCGTCGCGGTTGTCCTTCTGCAGCTGCAGCAGCAGCTCCTGCGCCTCGGCCATGGCTCCGGGGTCTCGGTCCCCCCGCCGCTGCGGGCCTCGGGGACCCGGCGCGCGGGCGGCGTCACAATGGGCGGCAGGGGGCGCCCGAGCGCAGGCCCCGGGCCGCGGCAGCCGCAACAAACGTTACGCAAGAGCCAAACTCGGATCCTCACAAGGTCGATAGAATACTAATACCTAATGCAGAAAAACGAAGAAAGACTGATTCCCAGTATAGACGATGGAACTTAAAAACTCTCCCCGAGCGTAGACATCAGTCAAACCTCACTGGATGGAACGAACGCCCGAGATCTATGCATTTCACCGTATGTAATTAGGTTTCATTTAAAAACCCACTTGGGGATCCCTGGGTGGCTCAGAAGTGGGCGCCTGCCTTCGGCTCGGGTAGTGATCCCGGGATCCGGGATCGAGTCCCCGCATCGGGCTCCCGGCGGGGAGCCTGCTTCTCCCTCTGCCTGTGTCTCTGCCTCTCTCTCTCTCTGTGTGTCTCTCACGAATAGATAAATCTTTAAAAAATAAATAAATAAAAATAAAAACCCACTTGGAACAAAAAAGACACCGTGGACAAATGCTACAAATGGGTGACAGGATAGAAAAAGATCTTTGTCATCAGATGATTAGTAACTAGAGTATATGGGAAACCCATATAGGGTTTCATAGGGGCCACTATGAGACCAAACATCAAAGGGACGGATAGGGCATTGCCCCGAGGGGAGCCCACGAACGCCCAGGAAGAGTCTGAAGAGATGCTCTGCATTTTCCATCAACCAGAGCAGCCAACAGGGTAACAGTCAGTTGACATCAAATATAAGCAATGATGTGAGTGAACCTGGTAGCCCTGTGCACCGATCTCGGGTCACTGGGGGAGCTGTGGGGTAGGAGCAGTGACTGGGTATGTGGCCCTCCAGGATCCACAATTTAGCTGTGGAGTATATGCCCCAGAGGAACTTTCTGACATGTTTGCAGAGCATTGGGAACTGCCAAGGGCACCTCCACCATGTAATTAAAGACTGAAGTATGATATATGCAACTATTTATATATTTTTAAGATTTTATTTATTCATGAGAGACAGAGAGAGAGAGAGGCAGAGACACAGGCAGAGGGAGAAGCAGGCTCCGTGCAGGGAGCCCGACATGGGACTCGATCAGGAAATTCATCAGAGATCACGCCCTGAGCCGAAGGCAGATGCTCAACCACTGAGCCACCCAGGCGTCCCACCATATGCAACAATTTATAAAGGAATCCCATAGAGCACCTAAAATGAACTAGGATCTACTAAGATCAACATGAAGAGACCTGAAAATAATGTCAATGGTTAAAAAATAGCAAGTAGAAGGAGATGTGCCAGGGATTTACATAAACTACCTAGGCAGGGGCGAGTGAGTCCCAGGGGGTGGGGAGGAGGAGGGGGGATGGGGTGGGAAGAGCGGGGTTGGGGTGGGAGGAGGGGGCTGTGCAGGGACAGGGGCTGAGGGTGAGGGCCGCGTGCTGTACCCCAGGGGCCCGGCGGAGAGTCCCCCGGAGGCGACGACTCACAGGTGTCAAGGGGAGCTAGGTTGCTTCTCACTAATTCTGAGAAGTGTAAGCAAGACCGAAGTCACTTCGGGTTATTTATACAGGAGCAGTAGTGGGCAGGACTGGCCATGACTTCCCTGCAGTGGGGGGGTGGGGTAGGGACTGGGGCACTGGAGAGTGCCTGGGACAAGTCGGGGATAGTGGGGCACCTGAGTTGGGATCTGGCAACCAAGCCTCTTGGGGGGCACCTCTCACACTGTCACTCAGGCGGCCCTGCTGCCCCCGCCCAGCACCCTCCCCCCCCCCAGTCCCGGCTCGGCGGCTCTTCCCGTATTGAGCCCCTCACAGGAGCAGCGCCCCTACCCCGTTCCTGCTGGGCCAGGGCTGCTCCTGCTGCTGGGTGGGAAGGTTCCTTGGGACCAGCGGAAGCCTGGTTAGAGCCCCCCACCCCGTGGGGGGTAGGGGGTGGGGGGCATGAAAAGCTCCAGACGCTGGAATGAGAGGCAGGTTCCGTTCCCCTACACACAGACCCTGGCTCTCTCCCGCCAGCTGGGTGACTGGCGACAGGGTCCCCGAGCCGAGCCGTGGTGTCCCAGTTTCCTCACCTGTACAGGGCGGCTGGTGCAGACTCTCCCTCAAAGGAGTGCACACAGTTAAACCTCTGGGCTCTGAGCCCCAGCACCCTGGGCCTCCAGGTCGTCACCTGGTTCTCACACTGGGACTTGTGTCTCCATCTGTACCTGTGCGGTCCCAGATGGTGGCCGTCGGGCGCTGGAGAGTGGCTGGTCCGAGCCAAGATGTGGCCCGCTGTACACACGCGTCTCATCGTGCACCCAGCTGCAGCGCTCGCGACTCTGGATCTCACGGTCTGAGTGGGACCTCTGCTGGGCGTGGAACTTACTTTAAAAAGTAACACAGCGGGCAGCCTGGGTGGTGCAGAGGTTTAGCGCCTGCCTTCAGCCTGGGATGTGATCCTGGAGACCGGGGATCGAGTCCCGCGTCGGGCTCCCTGCATGGAGCCTTCTTCTCCCTCTGCCTGTGTCTCTGCCTCTCTCTGTCTCTAACATGAATAAATAAAATAAAATCTTTCTTTTTAAAAGTAAAACAAAAAACTCCGTGCATCTCGTTAATAGTTTGCATACTGGTTACATATTGAAATATTTTGAATGTACTGGCTTGGATTAAACATGAACACTCGATTCCGTTGTTCCTTCTTACATTTCCCTGTGGCTCCTAGAGAAATACTCTGTTGGAGGGCACTCAGGTCACCCTGTTGGACAGCACTATGTCTCCAGAGTCCTGTGGCCCTTGCTCCCTTCAGGCTTAGCCCGCCCCCTCTCCTCCCACCACCCTGAAGTGTCCCCGGAACCCCGGCCACCTGCCACCTCCCTGGCTAGCCTTCGTGATCCCTGTTACCAATGAGGTAACCGGGACTCGGTGATGACAGGGGCTGGGAGCCGCAGCGCACCTGTGTCCCCACCCATGTTCGGGAGGGAAGCCGGCAGCCAGCATCTGGCTAGAATGGATGGGTGACAAGGGCCTACTCCAGGGGTGCCTTTTCGCAGCAGCAGGGAGCTAGTGAGTGACAACCCCCACGGCCCCTGCCCCTGCATCAGGACAGTATGTTGAGAGGAACACCCAGGCTACGCCTATCAGGAAACCTGAGCCACTTCCCCTGAGCCCCCTGAAGATCAGGAAGAAGGCTTGGGGACCCCTCCTGGCCTCGGGGCCCAAGCCCGCAGGCAGGCGCCAACACCCTGGGCCCCCAGGTCTCTGGGGTCCAATTCCTGGGACCAGGTGCCTCGGCACGTTGGCTCCCACCTCTGGGCCCCTGCAGGAAGCCCCCGCCTTTCTGCCCCATCAGGCCATCTGCCCATTTCTGTGTTTGTTTTGTTTTAATGTATCCATGAGAGACAGAGAGAGAGAGAGGCAGAGACATAGGCAGAGGGAGAAGCAGGTTCCATGCAGGGAGCCCGACGTGGGACTCGATCCCCGATCCTGGGATCACGACCTGAGCCAAATGCAGACGCTCAACCACTGAACCACCCAGGCGTCCCTATTTCTGTCCTTTCTTACACGGAGGTTCAAGGGCATGTGGGTGGCTCAGTGGTTGAGCATCTGCCTTTGGCTCAGATCATGATCCTGGGGTCCCAGGATCCAGTCCCGCATCTGGATCAACAGATCCAGTTGTCTTCAGTTGGCTGTGACAGCAATCACTCTAAAGACCCAACAATGAGCTTTCTGATTTGCACCCCCCCTTCTTTTTTGTATCTGGGTTTTGGGGGTTTTGTGTTTGTTTTTCTTTTTTTCATGGTCAACCTATGTTGCTTTTTTTCTTTTTTTTCTTTTGGACATTTGTTGCTTTTATAATGAAAAAATAAATATTTGTAACTGGTAAAAGAAAAGCACTGCAGCATGTAAGACAAGTGAGGGCAAATCACAGCATCGGGACAGGGCCCCGCTGGGCCTGCTGATGCCCAGCACGGCTGGCGAGCAGGGACTCCCAGCTGGTTTCCAGACAGCAGAGGGGGGTCTCGGAGGGGCGCTGTTTGAAGATGGGCACCTGGTCACCACTTCTGACCGGTGCCAACCTGCCATATCTACAGCTCGCTGGCCGGGGAAAGCCTGTGGGACTCTCCTGAAGCCAAGCTCCCTCTGGGGTGAGGGGAGTGCCCCCCAATCCCAAGGGCTCACCCAAGGGCAGCCGGTGTTGCCTCCCTGGTTAAAGCCCCTTCCCTGCACTGGTTCCCTCCTCTCGGGCCGCCCCCCCATCTGGCTGTTCCGCTCCTGCTCCCACTGCCCTCCTTGGAGAGCTCATGCAGGGTTCTGGGGCTGAGCCCTCTCCATGGGGTGATGCCCAATTATCACCCTGAGTGGGGACCCCCCTCTGCCCACACACCCTCACCAGGAGGTTCCCCCCAGTGCTGCCCCCTCTCCTCCAGCTGTTACCCTAGAAATCTTGATGCTCTGACCACTCTCACCCTCCAGCCTCTCCCCAAATCCTGGGGCTCCTTCCACGGCAAACTCCTGCCCGGTCCGTTCCTCACTTCTCTCTCGGCCGCCTGCCTCAACGGTGCTGTGATGAGGAGCAAAGAAGCTGATGTGTGCAAAGCACTTGGAACCACATATGATAGGGCCGCCTGGGTGGCTCCTCGGTTGAGCGTCTGCCTCGGGGTCAGGGGGTGATCCCAGGGTCCTAGGATCGAGTCCCGCATCGGGCTCCAGGAGAGGACCCCACTTCTCCCTCTTCCTGTGTCTCTGCCTCTCTCTGTGTGTCTCATGAATAAATAAGTAAAATCTTAAAAAAAAAAAAGGACCATGTCTGATAGACAGTAGATGACACAGAGCGCTTATTAAATAAGTTTAACTGAAAAACACATTTTCAAATACTGACCTCTCTCACCATGTTCAATGCCATTGTTCCAGACTGGATCATTCCAAAACTTCCTAAGCAGCCTGCTCCCACCTCATCTCCTCACAGCAACCAGAGGGACAGATGCCTGTGCAAAACACACACACACACACACACACACACACACACACACACACACACACTCAGGCCTCAGGCCCCTGGCAGCTTCCCACGAGTCCACAGTCACACAGCTCAGCCTAGACTGTTCCTCCAAGCAACTGGCCTCTGAGCCCAGGAATCTTTCTCCTACTGCTCCTTAGACTCACCAGCCT